CTCTTTGCATTATGTCTTTTTTATCTTCTTTTAAACATTTTTATATTTAGCTTTTATGTTGAGCAATTAGTTAAAAGATTGATGTGGATGTGCATGTACTCAAGTTAATATAATTAATTATTTAGTTAGAATAAATTAATAATAATTTATCAAAATACATGATCATTTTTCTGATGCAAAAATTTATTAAATGAATGCTATCACTTTGCTGCAATTATTTGTTAACATCTTAATTTACTTAATTAAAATTGGTTAAATTAATTTAGTAAAATCATTTGTCAATAATTATAATCAATCCATTGTTATCTGTTTGTTGGATAATTTTGATTAGTTCATTAATTAATATATCAAAATTATACAAAAAAAATTGGGAATAATTTCATAAATAAACGGTAAACGTCATTGTTCCCATACTAATCGGATAGCAACCGAACTTAGTCATATTTAATTTCCGGTAATATTATTTTCATACACCTCATTCTGATGCAATGTTTCCCATGGACATTAAGGATTTCCCCTATTCTCTAAAACAAATACCTTACCCTTTGGTTTATCATTGAACATTGATGAAGAAGGATTCACCTCCACAATCCTCCATCTTGGAATGATCCACCTCTTTCACCCTGGCCCCCCAAATTAATGTTTGTGTTATTAAGTAAAGGGCAATATAAATCTCTCTCTCTCTCTCTCTTTTTTTTTTTTTTTTTTTTTTTCTGGTTACAATCTGATACATGGATGTAATGTCTGATTTAACAACCTAAATTGGTTAGTGTAGAAAACAAAAGTAATGGATATTCGAAAAATCAAAGTACGAGATATTCATATACTGTAATTATAGAATCGTGTTTGATCAACTTAGATGTTGTTTTCATCAATTAACAGGTTTCTGTATCACTGTTGGCTCTTAGCTTTATTGGACTGGTTTCTCTTCAAACTTTATATAAGACAGGTTCCTCTCTCTCCCTCTCTCCTCCTCCCCCATTGTATCATGAACTCTAGCAATCTCAATCATCCGGAATTGTAGGTTGATACCAAAGATAATTTGTCTCGACATATAAATTTTCCCTATTCACTATGTTCTTATCATTGCTCCTAATGCCTTCTTTGAATTTATTCAATTTTTTTTTGTTTTTATTTTGTTAAAAGAATTATTTGGATCACAGAAGTTCATACATATGTTTTGAGGAAAATCATTTATTTTAGAGACGTAACTTCCCATTCACTTTGATTTTAGTACTTTGGTGTTCTACGGATGAAAGTTTTATTTGCACATACCATCTACAAAGCTAAAGTATATTTGCCATAATATTGCAGTTGTTCTATTCGCCTTCACGGTTTTCTTCGTATACGAGAAAAAGGAGCAAGAGATTGATTCCTTGTGTCAAAAATTTCAATTTTGGACGCAAAGGAAATGCAATGTGCCCGGAAAAGTTTCAACTTCACAAGGATAACGTGATTAGTGCAAGTTGTGTTTATACTAAGTTGCACCAAAGTTTACGTCCTCATCTTGCATTTCTGCCGATGTGGGCTCATGCCGGGTTACAAATTTAATAAGCTTTATTCCGTGTCTCTGTTGGTTATCTTTTTCCATTTCCCCCTAGGGCTCGTAATTTCCTTCGCTCGTTGACAAACCTCCCCACCCTCAAATATATATGAAGAATTAATTGATTTCAATTTTACATATTCAATGTCAAGACGTTAATTATTTCAGTTGAAGATTGTTTGGGACATGTATTATTTAAAACTTTTGCTTGCTTATTCACAGACCCAAATTAGATATTCACAGGAAACTTGTTGAAAAGCACATGGATGATCTTGAAGACTGTTGCTTTTTCATAAAGCTTTTTGGTGAGATTTATCACGGTTATCACCCTATCCTGATTGCTGCCGTTGAAAATAGTAATGCTTTCCTTAAAGCCTGACTTACATATGAAGCAACTGTACCTCTTCTTCAATTTAAATTTGTGTTCTGATCCTTATTTAATGGGTGATTCAAACAGGAGAACCATGAGAGAGACATGCACTTGAAGATCGTGCTTCAATGATTGCCACGAGCAAAATATTTGAAGTTCAATTACCCCTCGGTTGAAAGGTAGATGTCATCTCCTCATTTTCATTGCTCTATTACATGGCATTACGAAACTGCAATGACTTCCTTGTTGATGATGTTTTTTTTTTAAAAACTATTTTTTTTCTAGTTAAAAACGTTTTTAAGTCGAGAAATTCCTTGGAAGTACCAAAATAGAGACACGAAGCTGATAGGTCGTTTAGCTAGACGAAACTTTATGTAACGGTCCAAGCCTATCACTAACAAATATTGTCTTATTTGAGCTTTCCCTTTTGGGCTTCCCCTTTGAGACCCCACGTCGGTTGGGGAGGAAAATAAAGTATTGTTTATAAAGGTGTGGAAACCTCCTTCTAGCAGATGCATTTTAAAAACTTTGAGGGGAAGTTCAAAAACGACAATATCTGCTAACGGTGGGCGTGTGCCGTTCCACTTTATCCATTGGCAAACTTTGTGTTCATCAGTGTGTGCTTTTTTATCTGCTTGGAGATTGATAGTTTCGTTGACCCTCTGGCCTCTATTGATCTTTAACGAACTTTTTCCCTTTCCTGTTTCTTTCACTAACTTGGTGACGACCGGGCCTACTGACACACCCTAAAATGGCCGCACACCACTTTCTTTTCATTTTGTGGTAGTTGAGGTGACTAGGGTCTCGATTGCAATTACTTTAAGATAAGGCTTTTTTAGTTGACACTCACTCTTTCTAGGTTTAGCTAAACTAAAAGGTTGTCAGCTACAGTGTTTCCGATAGCAGTCTAACTAAATCTACATGTATTCTCCTCTCTGGCTAGTCAAATAAAAACATATCAAAATATTTTTCTTCACCCTGGAAGAGGTACACAGGTTGTTTGAGAGTGGCCGAGGATTGATGCCCTACTCTTATCTGTTTCTTCCTGAGCCTCCAAGTCTCGGACAACATAAATCAATTGGTCATTTGCTGCTAGAGTGATTTAAATTTAAGGCTAAATTTCAAAAGGCACTCCCAAACTTTATCCTTTGTTTAAAAAATACCTATGATCTTTCAAATTTTGCTACGTGACTGTTGACCTTTTATAAATGATTCAAAACTAGCCTTAGTAGAAATCCTTATGAATATTAGATGAAAACTGAGATTTATAACGGGTGTGGTACTAACTTGGAATAGTGTCCACGGTGTTTTAGCGCTCAACATTCGTTCCAAGTAAATGCCACACCATTCTTTGTTGTGTTCCTCTTAACCTTTCATAAATGTTTTATAAATGTTTTATAATTAGCTTTTGTTTGTAATACAAACTCAAATTAGGTAAAAAAAAAGAGCTTTTACTTGGGGTGGGTTAGGTGTTAGTTCAGATATTTTTCGAAAAATAATTAGAGTTTGGACTTCAATCCAATCCAATCCATCTAAATTAATTAATAATTACAGTTTTCTTTTCTTTTCTTGCAATAAAGTTATTTGTGCATGTCGTTATCTTTTTTAACTTCATTTTCACTAGATGACGACCCTTTTTTTTAATTAATTTTTTTAAATAGTTAAAAATTCAGCCATTATTTTAATTTAATGCTTGAAAGTAAGGAAAGATATCATCATTTTCTGTACGTGTCCCCATTTAGCATACATCACATTACACGATCCAATTTAGAAGCAATGTTTAAGGGAAGAGTTGGGACCATACCACACCCTTCATCCACCTTTCTCAAATTTTAAGGCACATTTTACCCTCCAAGTATTAAATTGTAAGATCAAATTTCTTATTTATTTCTCTAAACTCGCTAATTCGAACTACTCAATCTAAATTGTAAAAATGGATTATATTAGATTTTTTTTTATAGTTGGATTGAGTTAATTTTTTGAAAATCGAAAATTTGAGTTAGTTTACCTGAGTTCATATTTTTTTGTTAGGTCAACTTGACCAACCAAACTAACCCTTAGACTATTATAAATATTAAAAATATTTGACTTTTATAATTTATGTGATATGTGAATTTTATGAGAAGTGACTTGAGTCACCCATCGAACCAATTCAAAATTTTGGATTGGTCAAAAAAAAATTCAAGCCGATCCAATCTATGTGCACCTAGTTGCTTCATTAGTTTTGTTAGGTGTAAATTTGAGGCAATTATTTATTTTATTTTATTTTTTTATAGAAAATGTACTGATTTTTTTAGTGAAATACTTCTTCAATTATCCCTCTTGAATGAAACCCTAATCGGGTGTTTTCTTTCAAAGCAATTCACGTTCTTTTTAAGTGTTTTCAGAATTTTTTATTAGTTTTAAATAGTAAGCTTTACTTTCCTAAAATTATAAATCCATGAACCAAATTTGTTGCACAATTCCATATGTTTCCATTTCTGTTCCATTAATAATTTCCATTTTTATATATAATTATTTTTATTTATTTCTGAATTAGAAAAAAAAAAAAAGAAAAGAAAAAAAGAATTAACTCGAGCTTGGTTTTGAACAATGTAATGATTATCGAGCTATTTCCTAAATGTCATTAAATTCGACATTTTTTTTACTCATGGGTACTTGAATTATATCTTGTTGATGGATGGATTAAATTTTAAAGACAATAAAATATAATTATAAAAATTAAAAATTAACACATTAAGTTTTAAGTTTTAAAAAATAAAACCAAATTAAAATTTCAAACTAATAATTATATTAATTAACAATTTAGACTCTTTATTAGAAAGTAATAACTAATTTTACTTAAAATCAACTTTAAAAAATCTAAATATAGTTATTTTTCTCTTAAATACCTCCAAATTGACACACACACACACACATATATATATATATATAGTCGTATTAATTCAAATTTGAAAATTAAAAATTAAATAAAAACTATATTCTAAAATAGTATTTAATAAATATTTCCAAAGCTTATATATTTTGTTAGACATTAAGAAAAAAGAAAATTAAATAGATAAAAATTGTAATATTATTTATTAACCTCGAAAGTTGAAACTTTGAAGAGCAGGAAGAAGTGTAGCAGTAAAGCCGGAGTTGAATGCTCCACTCTCAAAGCTCTGCACTTTCCTTCGCAAAAGTTGGGTTTAGCGTGCAAAGGAGAAGCTTGGATTACTCTCAAGAATCCCCCATTTTGTTTTTAATTCCATTTGTTCTTCCTTTTCAATCCCTATTTTGCTTTCCTCTTCCATTTGTTCTTCCCAATCAAACCTTCCTTTTCCCTTTTCCATTTCTGAGATTAGTTCTTTTGATTCGGTCAAATAATCTTCCGAAATCTTCTTTTCATGTCAATTCTGATTCCTCGTTACGGATTACGCTCGGTAATGTTTCAAAATTCCTTCCCGCCTTTGATTAAAGTATACATTTTCCCTTCCTTTTGCCTGTTCTTCGATCTCCTTTCTCGGAATCGCCACGGTGTTCAGTTTTATGCAATGAGTATATTCCATCATTTCGATTCTTTGTCGTTTTTGTGCTCTTTTTGTCGTTCTAGGGTTTAACTTTTCTAAATCTGTCCTGTTTTGAGGTTTTGCAGTAAGGTAATTGGCATTGGTGGTGGTTATGGGAGGTGGTACGGTCGATGTGGTTAGCAGTAAAGGTTGTTCTAGGCTGCTTTTTGGATTCTCATCGCCGCTATCGTCATTGGGAGGCTTGAAACAGCTTGATTCCATGTCTCTCGCGTCATCGTCTTCAAGGTCTGAATCGGTGAAAGCTTCATTAACCGGTCCCTTTACTGGACTCGTAATTTGCGTTACTGGTTTATCCAAAGGTTGGTTATATGCTATAAGTCTTTTCTTCAATGTTCTTATTCTTTGTGATCATCATTGTTCATGTGTATTTTGAGTTTACTTGTGAATCTTTTCTTCTGCTTCTTCTATTTGTCTCGGTTGCGGAGCTTGTGAGATGAAAATTGTGAGATCCACATCGGTTGGGGAGGAGAACGAAACACTTTTATAAGAGTGTGGATACCTCTCCCTAACAGACACATTTGAAAACCTCGAGGGGAAGCCCGGAAGGGAAAGCTCAAAGAGAACAATATCTGTTAGCGGTGGGCTTGGGCTATTACAAATGGTATTAGAGCTAGACACTGTGCGATGTGCCAACGATGAGGCTATTCCCCGAAGGGGTAGACATGAGGTGATGTGCTAGCAAGGACGCTGGCCCCGAGGGAGGTGGATTTGGTGGGGAGGCTCTTCCCCAAAGAGAGTAGACACGAGGTGGTGTGCCAGCAAGGATACTAGGTCCTGAAGGGGGTGAATTTGGTGGGGAGGCCGTTACCCGAAGGGGTTAGACACGAGGTGGTGTGCCAGCAAAGACGCTAGCCCCGAAGGGGGTAGATTTGGTGGGATCCCACATCGATTGAAGAAAGGAACGAGTGCCAACGAGGACACTGGACGCTGGACCCTGAATTGGTGTGGATTGTGAGATCCCACATTGGTTGGGGAGGAGAACGAAACGTCCTTCATAAGAGTGTGGAAACCTCTACCTAGCATACGCGTTTTAAAAACTTTGAGAGGAAGCCCGAAAGGGAAAGCCCAAAGAGGACAATATCGGCTAGCAGTGGGCTTGTACTATTACAAAAATTCTAATGGTTTTCAGCTTGTTTAATCAATTACTCCAAATGTTGATAGTTTCTAAATAAAGAATGTTGTTGAGATATCAGTTCAAGATGTCTATAATGATGATTTGTTCATCTTTGAATAAGTTTTGCTTCAATTATCGATAATTTGCTTCTTGTTTTTGGCAGAAGCAAGGAAACAAGTTAAGGAAGCTACAGAGAGATTAGGTGGACAATACAGCCCCAATTTGCATCCACAATGCACTCATTTGGTGGTTCAAATATCCTTTAGCTTATCTTGGGTATACTTAACTTTGTTTCGTTTTTTTATATGATATTGGTTGGGTATTCAAACCCCTTTGGTAGAACTTTTATGACCTGCATCCCTACTTGTTTTGTACTGAATTACCAGATTTTGCTGACAGGGTTCATTAGAAAAGATATGCATATTCTTAAAACTTAGTGGGGTATTGATTAATGGTGGTACTATGAGATGGCGATTTGACTATTGTATTGGGAATCATAGTTGGCGTAGTAGTAATTGTATGGTTAGAAAGAGAAAATTGTAAGATCCTACCTCGGTTGGAGAGGGGAACGAAGCATTTCTTATAAGGATGTGAAAATCCCTCCCTAATAAACGCGTTTTAAAATCATGAGGCTGATAGCGATACGTAACGGGCTGAAGCGGACAATATCTACTAGCAGTGGGTTTAGGCTGTTACAAAAATATACGCATACAACAACGGATTGGACTTGAGTATGCGGGTCCTTTTTTGTCCATTTTCTTGAGGAATTGCTTCTTATGAAAAAAATGTATTGGGTCAATCTTTTTACACTCTTAGGTTCTATAATTTCTTCAGAGTGGTAGAAATTTCATAGCTTAAGTGATTATTTTATTGTTAATCGGTCGAGTATTGAAAGCCAATGTTGGTATGAATGAACACCTTGATAGATACCACAGCTTAGGTGGACGCAAATTCGAGCACGCCTTTAAGCATGGATCAAGAAATGGGCTATTTGTTGTCTCTCTTGGCTGGTTTGTAGATAGTGTACGGAGAAATGGTAAGAAGAAGCTTTGAGTGCTAACTGGTTATGATATTTTTCCTTTAAGTTTTGTTCTCATGTATCATGGCTATGTTCGGGAGGGGGGGGGGGGGGCATACTTGGGGCATACAATCATCGACATAAATGCTAATTACAACCTTACTTTTCTTTATAGGCTAAATTAATAAAAATACTCCTAAACTTTGTACTTTCTCTCGAAAATGTCCTCACAAGTGTAGTTACTAGTTTTACTATAAGCATTTTGTATCAGATGTATAACTGTTCTTATCTTTTACAGTAAGACTGAGCGAGTCTCTTTATAATATCAAGAGTCTCGGGGAAAACAGTGGACGAATGGACGAACTGAACCAACTAGTAGGGTCCAATGGTGATGGAAACTCCTGCCTTCCAGTGGGCATTCATGGAGTTGAGCAAAATGGTATGAGAGGAGAATCTCATTTACCATTCTCTAAGCGAGATCGTGACAGAAAAAAGGACTCTAATCTCTCGGGTCAATCCGTGTATATTGATACCGACATTTCATCAGAGCTGCGACAAAAGGTAATCTTATTATAAACTCCATAGTTTTATGGCTCTAACTGATGAACACTAAGGAGGTGACTATTGGTGTATGCAAATGTTAGACTACATAAGTAATATGGAACTTCACGACTGTGAAGCTGCTAGTATCTGGTAGTTTGCAGGCTATCGAGGCTGCTAAGGGGATGATTGATTCTCAAATTTTTGTAGGTTATCGAGGCAGCTAAGGGAGTCGGTGCCTCGCTTGTCGATCAATGGTTTGCTGGTTGCAGCACGAGTCACGTGGTTTGTGAAAGGACTTCCGTCCATCGATATCTTGGCCACTCCAGCAATTTAGTTACAGTAAGTGGTGTTTCGTTTGTGTGTTCATATGAAGCTGATTTTTTTTTTCTATGTTTTCGTAATGGTGGACTTTTCTTGGACAGGAATTTCTTTTCAAATATAAATGAGCTATAGTTTTTGCTGTCCTATATCATGTCTGTATTTATATATATCAAACGACTTGAACCGCCCCCATGTTTATCGTCTAAGTCCACCGCTAGCAGATATTGTTCTCTTTGGGCCTCCCCTGAAGGTTTTTAAAACGCATCTACTAGAGAGAGGTTTTCACACCCTTATAAAGGATGCTTCGTTCTCTTCCCCAACCAATGTTGGATCTCACAGTCCACCCCCCTTCGGAGCCCAGCGTCCTCGCTGACACTTGTTCCTTTCTCCAGTCGATGTGAGACTCCTCAATCCATCCCCTTCGGGGCTTAGCGTTCTTGCTGGCACACCGACTTGTGTCCACCCCCTTCGGAGCTTAGCCTTCTCGTTGGCACATCGTTCGGTGTCTGTCTCTGATACCATTTGTAACGGCCCAAGCCCACCGCTAGCAGATATTGTCCTCTTTGGGCTTTGATACCTTTCAGGTTTCCCCTCAAGCCCATCGTTCGGTGTCTGTCTCTGATACCTTTCGGGTTTCCCCTCAAGATTTTTAAAATGCGTCTACTAGGGGGTGTGCCACACCCCTATAAATAATGTTTCATTCTCCTCTCCAACGGATGTGGTATCTCACACCCTAGCTGTCATAAAAGAATTTATCTTTTGAGATTACTTTGTATGTTCTTTTAAATGTTTTAGCTTCACTGAGATTCATCCGATAATTTCTCAGCCACTCTGGGTTCTGAAAACTGTCGATGAGAAACATACACAAAGACTTATTCACATGTCTGCCGACTTGGCTCGACAGATTAGTTCAACGCTTGAAGATCTTTCTGCCGAAAATTCTACGGAGGTACGTTTGACTTTTTAATCCTTTGTTGAGCATTTTACAACGTGGAAACGTCATTGTTAGTAATTTTGATGAAGTTTCTATCTGGATTGCGTGATTACACTTTTTTTAGCTTATATCTCAGTCTCATGCTGATACAGTATTAGTAGTGAACTGTTATCGTGCAGTAATCGAGATGCCAGTAAAATTTTCAGGTTAAATAACCTGAATTTACCCAACACAAAGCCAGTAAGCAACAGGAAAGGTCACATTATAACAAAATTAAAATACAGAAAAACACATGCTGTTGTAAGAAACAGGACCTTGCAAACACTTGATCTGTACTTATAACGTGAAAACATTAACCCCAGCTCTTGCTCGTAACTTAGAGCAGGAAATCTTTATATTAGTGTTGTTAACTAGTGTATTCCCTTGTTTTTCCCCCCTCTTCTCCTTTCTCTTCTCCTTTTTCATTTAGTGTAACAGTTCAAGCTTACCGCTAGCAGATATTTGTCCGCTTTAGCCTGTTACATATCATTGTCTATCTCACTATTTTAAAACGTGTCTACTAGGGAGAGGTTTCTACACCCTTATAAGGAATATTTTGTTCCCCTCTCCAACCGACGTGGGGTCTCACAATCCACCCCCTTGGGGGCCTAACGTCCTCGCTGGCACACTGTCTATTGTCTGGCTCTAATATCATTTGTAACAGTTCAAGCCTACCGCTAGTAGGTATTGTCCGCTTTAGCCCATTACATATCGTTGTCTGCCTCGCTGTTTTAAAACGCATCTACTAGGAAGAGGTTTCCACACCTTTATAAGGAATGTTTTGTTCTCCTCTCCAACCGATGTGAGATCTCAAAATCTACCCTCCTTGAGGGCCCAGCGTTCTTGCTGGCACACCGCCCGATGCCTAGCCACCATTTGTAATAGTTCAAGTCCACTGCTAACGGATATTGTCCGCTTTAGCTCGTTACATATTGATGTCAGCCTCACGATCTTAAAAATGCGTGTTCTCCTTTTTATTTAGTTATTAATTGCTATTGTTCATCATCTGCAGGCAAGAAATAGGCAAGCAGAAGATGCTAGAAATTTTAGAAGTAAGGCAACCCTCGCAGAACGCGAACAGATGATTTCAAATGCTAAACTTTGGGTGAGGAAACGTCGTGCTTGTCGAGTCCAGGTTGTCCCTTATTTGAATCTTATTTGGGGCCTTTCTATGTTTGTTTGTTGTTCATGTTTGATTGTGCTTCTCTGCTTCACCTTCAAGTATCGTTGAATTTGAAAATCTATATTTGAAAATCAAGATTGAAGAGAATTCTGGTATTTATCAGTTTTTTATCTTCTTTTTACAGACGTGTCAAAACCCAATACGTCCATTAACTCCGAGTAGCCTTTTGGATTCAATCTGCTGGTCAATATCTGAGCCAAGTTCATCTGCTTCTATTTACACAGACTCTTTCAGTAGTGAAGGTGTTAGTGAGCATCATCCAGAGTTCTTTGATGCAACAGGAGATGGCAAGGAATCAGAAGCTTCATTCGCAAACCTAACTCGTCCGCTCAGTGAAAGGTCGGATTACTTTTTATGGTTTGAGATCGATGCGTTTGATCGGTTACCCCGTAGTTTGAGTAACGTTGAAGTCAGCAGCAACTGAATTTTTTTCTCATTTTTCACTTTCACTTGCAGTGAGAAGTCTGAAATTGTATTCAAAAACCATTACTTGACCATATTATTTCCAGTGGATCGTTTCTTCGAGATGGGTCCATCGTCAAGGACATTTTTTAACAGCAACGGGTTCACATGTTTGCAGATTCTCGATCATATTTATACGTTTTATCAGGTATTACTATGCCATAAGTTTCTTGTGTTCTGTAAAGATTTGGCATGTTGATTAGGATGGAGGTGAGTTAATCATTCTTACAAGAAACTGAATGCTTCTGGTTGCAGGAGAACATGTCGGATCATGAAATAGAGATGGCAATTCACACTGACTCGAGACATGCTGACCGACTTCGATCAGCTTACTGCAGTAGAGAAACATCAGAATCTGGTTATACAGCTTTCAAAAGGATCGAATTCTTGGGGAGCCGTAGAAGTTTCGAAATGTTGAAGCGTGTTAGCGTCGACAACAACAGTAACGTCTACGAGTTATTGATCAGAGCATGAGACTGCTATACCGATCCTTACTGTGAGTTGCTCTTGCATCAACATATTGATTTTCTTGCTAAGCTAATGTAACATATTTGAGAATTAAGTCTAAGCTTCACTGTTGAATCTTGTGATGGTAGTGCACTCTCTTCAACTTATTAGAGGGTGAAGTTTTTCAAATCATCTCATCAGTAACGTAGGCTTTGTTTGAGAATTATTTCAACAATAATACAATAAATATATATTCGAATAATTGTTTTTCGTCGGTTGTAGCTTGCCATCGTCTTCAAATCTTCAATCTCTAGTCATTGTTCCTTCATTGTTAATGGGAACAGCAATCTTGCCATGCTCGTTCCTAAACAATGTTTCTTCATTGTGAGGAACAACCTCTAGTAGTTTCTTCATTTCATAGTGTAAACGATGTTTTAAATTTGAAAGTTTGTTTAAGACCATCAAACTTATAAGGACCTTTGGAACGGAGGAATTCTCATTCGTTCAAGAGGGTTCGTCCTCGTTTTTTGAAGACAACAATCACCATTGAGAGATAGCGATAGCAATAGCAACAAAGACGATGGTCACAAGACGGCAGTTGAAACTGAAGTATACAAAATGTCTCTAGTATGTAAGGTTTGGTTTTAATTTTGCTACTAATGTACATAGGTTCAATTTATTTTAGAGTAACCTACTAACCGTTCTCCACTAACTCATTAAACTTAAATTGCAAATAATTCTTGAAGCCCCAAGAAAATGGGGTTTTGGTTTGATTTTCATATATAACTTTGATACTCTTGTATCAATACTGTAGTCGTCAACCTAAGCATATATCAATTTAAACTCTGAACTAGTGAGACTATCAGCCCTAAAGTTTAAATCTCTGAACTAGTGAGACTATCCACCCTAAAGATAAACCTGTGACATAAAAGACTATACATATATTAATGACAAGGCTCATGAGTCATTAATAACAACTCTTCCTTGTTGTCGGAGTTCCTCAAGCATGACGAGAGATGCCGAGTCAAGCGAGCTCTTCTTATCAGCTCGGGCATCACCTTTACATTCAATACAGCCAGCATTGGGTATTTGCAGAATAATATTTGACAAGTAACTGTTAAATCCTTTTCTTCTCTCCGAGCCTTCGCCAATGTCTATTAGGACTCTGTATGAAGAACAAGGACTTGTTACAAAAATAAACTGGTGAATCAACAGAAGAAATATTTTGGAGTCGACATTGGTGCTACTTGATCGACTCTCGGGGCGTGTAGAGGCAAACACAAAAAAAAAAAAATAGTATCCAAACAGAATAGAGAAGATGAGAACCAATATTCAACTAACCTTGATTTATGTTCTACTGTATTGAAAGTTGGCATTGGCCACTGCAGTTTCTTGCATAGTTCAAACAAAGTACTCCGTGGTCCTCCTTTCTTCAAGTTGATTGGTCCAATAACTGCAATGTGGGCAAAAATGAATTATAAATCAATGAAAAGGAGCTTGACTTCAATTCCTGAAGTAAGCTAGAAATGAATGATATTAACTCATTTCTTGTCATGAATCCGAGATACGGATTTTGGGAACGTTGCTTAGAATGGTACAAGCCACAACATATCAGTAAATCTCCAGCAATTAATTAACATATCATCAATGTACAGCATTTGTGTAATAAAAGATTCTTTGTTTTTTCCCCTACAAATTCAAACAGTTGAAATCATCAACAAATCATCTAGTTAAACAAGGTTCAAATCAGTGAACTTAAAACTTTTTATGAGTTATCAAATTCTCCGGCGTTAAAATATATTCAACCAATGAAATCAAATTATGAGAACAGAAGCAAACCAGGGGTCTCGGAGTTGGGATCACAGGCATCTGTAGAACAGTTGATAGATGATGAGAGAACCATAGCAGCCTCTGCGCGAAAAATAAAATAAAATAGGGACCATCACCACCACCATTATACTTATCTTAAGGATTATAGACACCAAAGAAAAAACCAAGTTTTTTGCTCCCAGGAAAATGACACTCACCAACGCAGCTGGGATTTTGTTTTCTCTTCTTGGAGCCAGAACGAGAGTAAGAAATTCCTCTTGTCTGTTTTCAGAATAGTCCAAAATGAGTACCATACCAAATAAAAAGTTGAAATGCCAGAAAGTATGGAAAATAAAGGTTTAGATAAATAAAAATTCCATGTATAAGAAAGGATTGTGGAAAAGGCGATAAAGCTAAGCTATCCACTAAAAGAGCCAAGGGGTTAAGAGAGAGAGAAAGAAAGCTTCCATTTTTTACTGTGAAATCTCACATCGGTCGAGGTGGAGAACAAATTATTTTTTATAAGGGTGTGAAAATCTCTTCCTATATAGAAGCATTTTAAAAACCTTGAGGAGAAGCCCGAAAGGAAAAACTCAAAGAGGACAATATATCTGCTAGTGATGGGCTTTGGGCATTACAAATGGTATCAGAGTCAGACACCGGGCAATGTACTAGCAAGGAGGTTGAGCCCAGAGGGGTGGACACGAGGTAGTGTGCCAGCAAGGACGCTGGGCCCCAAAGGGCGTGGATTGGGGGTCCCACATCAATTGGAGAAAGGAACGAGTCCGCCAGCGAGGACGTTGGGCCCCGAAGGGCGGTGGATCGTGAGATCCCACATTGGTTGGGGGAGGAGAACGAAGCATTCTTTATAAGGGTATGGAAACCTCTCTCTAGCAGCCGCATTTTAAAAACCTTGAGGGAAAGCTTGAAAGGGAAATCCCAAAGAGGACAATATCTGCTAGAGGTGGGCTTGGGCCGTTACACCCACCGAAGGAAGAGAAAAACTTATCTAAGACGGAGGACAAAACATTTTATTAAGGTCTATTTTATGCCACGATTAAATGTCCATTAATTCACCAGTCAGAAAACTAATTCAAGCCTTTCTTACCTTTGAAACTAATTGGAATAGAGAATATAAGTTCCACGACTGCTCTAAAATATAGACTCCATAATCCTAAAAGTTTTTCATAACAAGCAAGCAGTGTCAAATAAAGCAGAAATCTCTAACACCAAGACATCGCCAATAGCGACACTTTCAATATACGAGTAGAGCATGCAAAGTTCATATTCCCTCCAGATAGAAAATGAAGTTGGTTTTCAAGTGGACGACCCCCAAAACCTTTCCAATCCAGATAACTTTCATTTCTGAACAGAACATCTAAATTCTAATGTTTTCTCTCTGTAGAAGACAGAAGTAAACGAGGATTCAAAGATTCTGGAGAAATATTCAAATTCTGGCTATTGAAAAGACAACATTTTACCTCAAGTTGAACTAATAAGCGTTGAGCAGCTTCTCCTCTTGAGGCTTTTCTGGTTCGTTCATATCCTTCACCTACTAATAGGACATCTTGCAACTGTAATCTAAGTTCTGCATGAAAAATTTCTCCCTTCCTAGTACATTTATCTTTGATGAAATACCCCAGAGAATCACATAATTCATTTAGTTCTCGGAGCGGTGGAAGTTCAAGTTTATCAGGGGTCACTAATGGAGTTAATAGTGGCTTATATATTTTCCATACTTCGTCAAGATTAAGCTTTGTGTCAATCAGTATGGCACCCGCAATACTTTCCACCATATCACCAAGAACCTGTAGAAGAAAAAGATAATAGAAAAGTTGAGAACCAAGAAATCGGGGAGAAAGTAAGCTGTGTAATATAAAGAACATAGTACAAATGGATTTCTAATTTTTAAATAATATATGAAACTCCACGTCAAGAAAATATGGAAAATAATGGCATAATAATTGCAGTACAAATCACAAATTTGAATGACAAGTACCTTTGGGCCTTTATTTCCATGCAGCGACTTTCCAGCATCATGAGACTCGGACAAGTACTTCACATACTCAGTAATTTGACTAATCAGAAGCCCAGAACAATGTTGAAGATGTTGCTGAAGATTCCGTCTCACAGCCACTTGAGCAAAAGTTTTATTATTAACAGAAGCTGAACGTAAATCAGTCAACTCCCCTGGGTCAATATCTGGGTACTTCTGATAATAATACCATGTAATGAGCAGGTCTAACACTGAGTCACCAAGAAACTCAAGCCTCTGAGTAAAAAAAGAAAGAGAAATCAGGTGGAATTCTCACATTCCTACAGCATCATTCTTTCGACATGTAATTGCTTCTAATCATTGATTTTTTGGAGGAACATATAACATAAAGGAGAAAGAAAGCCTTAAATCAACTATGAAATTGGTTACAATTAGCAACATCTTCACTTTTATGCTCCCTAAATCATAAAAAGAGTTTGCTTTATGTCTTTGGACTGAAAACCATACTCCTTGCTGGAATCAAGCCACTAGATACACAATCACCAAAAAGGGATGAGGGGAATTAACACTATGGTGATAGGGTCTCGAGAAAGGTACCCAACTTGATGGTGCCAATATGTTTTTTATTAGCAGGAGGGAAGCGGAGGACTTGGATCATATGCTTTGGGCTTGTGATTGTGCTTATTCAGTTTGGAGTCAGTTTTTTGAGAAGTCTGGTTTGGTTTTGGTTTGGCAAGGCACATAAGCTGTGGTGATAATTATGGAGTTCATTCTCCATCCTCATTTTTCGTGATAAAAAAGGTTTTTGACAAACTGGGGTGTGTCATTGCTTGGAGGCTTTGGAGAGCAAGAAACAATAAAATTTTTAAGGGTTTGAGAGGCCTCTGAGTAAGGTGTGGTACAAGATTAGATTCAATGTGTCCTTTTGGAGGTTAGCAAATTTACTCTTTTTTTTGTAATTATCAGTTAGGTTTTATTTTGTCAGATTGGAGGTCACTTTTGCAGGTTGCCTTCATTTTTTGTGGGCTCTTCATTTTTTCTCGATGAAAGTTCGGTTGTTCATATAAAAAAGAAAGAGAGGGCTTCGGGTAGAGAGAGTAACTACAATCAATTATAAGAGAAAACAGTGAGTTTCCTTGACTACCTGGTAACAGTAATTAACACCAAGTTCTTGATCAGATGTGTGTGTGATAGCCTCCAGCAATAATCCTTTGACAGAAAATTCATATCCAATTTTCGACTCTAAGGTTGCGATCTCAGTATCTTTCAAATTGCAGGATCTCAAAGATGCAGAAGTAATTGCATCAACAACTAATGCTACGTCAAGATCAGCATCAATTCCAAGCCACTTAATCACATGAAGTGCAGCAATGATTCCACCATCAACATAATAGGCGCCTATAAGGGCTTCAGCACAGTCGGCTATAGTTTTTGAAACCAACCACCTATGACCCTTATCACAGCACTTA